GCTGATGTCCTCACAGTATCTGATCTCTGCAACCCAGTCGATGGTCCTAAGCTCAGCTCTATTTTATAATCTCATGTTTAAGTCCCATGTATGATTATGTTCTCTTCTCCTCAAACCTCATAAGGTCCCCTAGCCTAAGCTTAAAGTTGAAGTTTAATAAAGATTCTGACTCACAGTATCCCTAACACCTGGATCTTGCCTCCCTTGATAACAGTTGCCCACCACTCTCTAGTGTGAACTTTAGACTCCAACATCCCCACAGAGCTCACTGTCTTGAGGGTTCTGTATTTCTAGACCATCCTAATTTCATTCTATCTGCCTAGAATGCCCTTGACCTGCTGAAAACCTATTCATCTTTCAAACTGCACTTCAGGATCACTCCTTCAAGAAGCCTCCCTTCCCACTCCCATCCATGTAGTCAGTGCCTTCCACACTCCTGTGGCTCCTGAGCACACCTGTCTACCTTAGCACCTGGCACAAAGAGGTACCTGTGGCTCTCCTCTTACAAAACCTTAAGTTCATCAAGGATATAGAAATTTATTTACTTATTCATTCATTCATACATTCATTCATTCAATTAATATTAAGAACTTCCATGTGGGGACTGGAGAGATGGCTCAGCAGTTAAGAACACTGATTGGTCTTACAGAAGACCTGGATTCAGTTCCTAGCATCTACATGGTGGCTAACAACTGTCAGTAACTCCAGTTCCAAGGGATCTGACACCCTCTCCTGGCCTCTGCAGGTACTGCACACATAGGTGCACTTATATGCAGGCAAAACACATACACATAAAATATAAATAAATAAATAAATAAAATTTTAAAGAAACTTCATGTGTCAAACAATGTGCCAGGCATGGGTACATTATATTTCCTATGTACATTACCTAGGAAAAGGATAGCTTTATCTCTATATCTCCAAAACTTAGCATGGTGTCTGACACCACGAAGGTGCTTCATAAATGTTTGCTGAATTGACCAGAGCCTGTTAGTGGTAGGGTGAGTAAGAGCAGGTTTTTGGTCTGGAGTGAATGCTGGCCAACATGGAGTCCTGGAAATGGTACAGGCACTCTGGGGTTGCTGATAGGAGTTCAAGCTCCAATTCTGCCCATTCATGCCAGATTTCCTTTAACTTAAGATGTTGATTTTAATTTTGAAATCAAAATTACTAAAGCAAGGTCAACTTCCTGTGTCACTGTACAAGAATTCATGGAGATGCCGAAGCAGATATGGATTATAAATTGTTCCTCCTCAAGAAAACATATGTCCCATGATAAACATCAGAGGCAGACAAGGCAGAGGCCCAACACCAAGGGGTGATGGAGGTGAAGACTACAGTAATGGAGAGGGCAGTGAGGCCAGAGACAGGGAAACAGGTGGACCTGGATTTCAAGGTCTTCAAGCTAAGATGTATACAGGAGGCAGTGCTGCCCTTGACTGTCTCTCAGTGCCAGGTTATCAATCTCTTCCCCTTCTTACACAGCAACAAAAGCTTCACCATTTGCCATCAGGGTCCACAGCTGTGGGCAGAAGCAACTTCGGCATTCTCCTCCTCCTTTGAATATAAAATAAGCTCTTTCTAATCCTCCATTTTTAATGACTACAGGCAATGGCTTTCCTGTTCTCCCTTCTAGTGTCATCCTAGCCAGACACCTGGATCAGCAGAGAGAGAAATCCACAGCCATCGAGCCAGGAATAGGGGTTTGCTGCAGCAGGGGCAACAGGAAATTACCGTGCAAGCTGGGACCCTGGGGACAGTTTTCCCTCTGTATCCGCTCCTAAATTCAGAGCCCTCTGGGAAATGAGAGCTCTCCCTGAGATGCCTTGCTTCTGGGTAGGTGCCCGGCACACATTAATGTCAGCACTGGGGGTGGGAGGAGGGATAAGGGCTGTGTGGGTGCACCCTGATGCACAGAGATACTGAGCAAATTCTCCCTGTCACTTTCCTTGACAGGCAAGTCCTTGGTAAGGAATCTACCTTAAACCACTCAGCTTTTCTGAGACCCCCTTCCCCCTAGGACTTTCTATTAAGAAATTTAAAAGACTTTTGGAAATTGCAGATGGAGAACATGGACAAAGATCCCAAGGAGAAGGCTGATATTTCTGGACAGTGGAAAGCATTCTAATCCATGAGTAACAGAGGGGAAGCAAGGGGGTCTTGTCAGTATCTCCAGAGATGCGTTTGGATGAAGAGGGGATGAGAAAGCACAGACAGAGAGCCTGGAATAAGACTCAGAGGAAAAGTGTTTTACTGCTGGGGGATGTGTCTTAGTGGTAAAGGGCTTGACTAGCAGGCAGGATCATTACACACAACAAATGAAGTCATTACACATAAAAAATCTTTCACTTGTATAGCACATTCACAACTTATAAAGTACTGTCATTTTTCTTTTCTTTTTTTTCTTTTTCTTTTTTTTCTTTTTTAGTCTTTTTGAGACAGGGTCTCCCTGTAGCCCCAGCTGTCCTGGAACTCACTACGTAGACCAGGTTGGCCTTGAACTCACAGAGATCTGCCTGCCTCTGCCTCCCAAGTACTGGGATTAAAAGTGTGCACCACCACACCCAGCTTTTCTTTTTTTAAAAAATACTTTACTTATTATTTTTATTTTATATGTATGCGTGTATTGCCTGCATGTAGGTAAGTGCACCAGTGTTGTCCAATGCCCATGGAGGTCAGAAGAGGTTGTCAAATCCCCTGGGACTGGAGTTACAGATAGTTGTTAGCTACCTTGTGGGTACTGGGATTCGAACCCGGGTCTTCTGCAAGAACAACCAGTGTTCTTAACTGCTGAGCCATCTCTCCAGCCCCATATTTTCACTTTTCTAACTGAACTTGAGCCTCAGTTTATCCTGAACAGTTAGGGGATTAAGCGAGATGACAAGGGACGTGCCTAGCAGTTTCTCAGTACGCCTTTGTCACAAGTTCTTTTAGTTGAACCTAACAAAAACCTTTGGAAATAAGTGGACACTTGTGATGGTTCCCATTTTCCAGAATACCAACATGAGGCTGATCAGTGTTCCTGAGCAAAGGGCCTCAGCAATTCAGCTAATGGCTGTAGGAAGTCTCCGACCCAGGACCTCCAGAATTTTCCCACCGTACCAGTATGTTTGTTTGCTGCAGCTCCATCACTGAGATCCATGTTTGAGAGGAAGGGAATTCATAAAGCAAATATAAAACATTCTGCTCAACCAGCCAGGCTTTCTCAGTCTGCTGTGAGTAATACGGCTAATCATGGCCAAAGATCCATCTCCAGGTCAGAGTTCACTGACCCATGGGCAAAAGACCTGCCACCATTAGCAGTGTTATTAGAATAAGCACGTTCTCAGGTTCTTTTGTCTGTTTGGCACTGTGGTGGTTAATAGCGTCAACAGGACAAGATCTAGAATCATCTAGGAGGCAAACCTCTGTGTATGTCTGGATTGCGTTGCAGTAGGAAAACCGCAACTATGAATGGCACCATTCCATGCGTTGGGGTCCCAGACTGAATAAAAAGGAGAAAGCAAGCTGGGCCCTGGAATTCATCTCTTTCTGCTTCCTGACTGTGAACACAGTGTGACCAGCTGCCTCATGCTCCTGCTGCCATGCCTTTCCCACCATAAGGGACTGTACCTTCAAACTGTGAGCCAAAGTAACCCTTCCTTCAAGTTGCTTTTGTTGGGCCTTTTGTCATAGCAAAGGAAAAGTAATTAATATGGGCACTATGTAAAAATCTAATAATAAGGATAGTGGGAAGATGGTAGAGAGGTAGAGGGGGTCCGAATATGATCAAAATGCATTTTATGATATTCTGGAATCAATAAAAATAATTTTAAAATTTTTGAAGAAAAAAATGTTAATAATAACAAAATAAAGCTGAAAGGATCTGATCAGCAAAGGCTGCTCAGTTT